TCAATTAAACTCCTCACTGAACTACTTAGCACCTCATACTTTCTTTGAATCCATGAGCATTGTTGCTATAATTTATTATATTTTTATACACTCCATGTAATTTTGATTAAATTCATCTGTGCTTGAAAATGTGAAGTATGCTCATTCTCTGAAGACAATAAACTTTCAGACTCTGCAACAGGAGTCTTTTGCTCTCCCCACCCCCAATTCCTCTTTTAGCTCCTACGTTCCAAAGGGGAAATAAAGCTTTTCTTTTGATAGTACACTGGTAAACCACAGACTCTTCACATAAAACTGAAAAAAGAACTATAGGGCCTTAGATTTTATAAGTACCATCCTTTAATATGAATTCTAGACAAGGACTCTATAGGAATAAAACGATGACGACTTGCAACTGGGTGTTCAGTACATGGAGAACAATTATGAAGTTCTCCCCACCTTCCAGTCATGACAGTTTTCCAACCAATATGATGCCATTGTACTTGCACAAACCAGAAGATCTTAGTTTTAAAGTGTCTAGGTTTCTATTCCATATACTTCATCCTGAGTAGTTCGTTAGGGTACTTTTTAGAAAAACAATATCCTTTCAAGCATTCCTTCCAAGTGCTCTAACAAGTGTTATAAATGAGCACAGTTTTACTAACATCTGTAGATTCATTGCTCTACAAGGAGATGCTTCAAGTAATTAGTCCCATGGAGAGTCATCATGTAGCTAGCAGTCGTGTTCTGCAGTAGCACTTAAAAAAAAAAAAAGGATTTAATATATTCATTCATACAGAACTGGGGTACAGGCCAGAGGTGCAGAGGCAATGAATGGAAGGATTCATCTGAGATAGAGTGGGGAGCAGAACAGGCAAACTGATGAAGTACACTGCTTAGGGGAAGAGCCAGTGGGTCAGGAGAGGTCTGCTGCCCCATGTGGGTCACCTCCCTGGCCAAGGATCGAACTCATACTGAAGTGGCTGCAGCTAGCTTCACAGTGCTTCATTCTAATCCATTGTCCCACCAGGGAGGGCCCTATAGTTAAAGTATTTTGAAAAACATTTTCCATGTGATGTTAACAGTTTATGTTGCCTTTTACTGAACCAATTATTTTGCATTATAAACACACAGTTCTTTCTATAAACAAATTTCAATTATAAAATCCATTAAGAACCAGATTTTGGGGCCCTCCCTGGTGGTGCAATGGATTAGGATGCAGAACTGTAAGCTGGCCACAGCCGCTTCAGTGTGAGTTTGATCCTCAGCCCTGGAGGTGACCCACATGGTGCTCAGACCTCTCCTGACCTGCCCACTGCTCCCCTCAACAGTGTACTTTGTCGATCTGCCTGTTCTGCTCCCCACTCTGTCTCTGGTGAATCCTCTCACTGCCCTTGCACCTCTGGCTTGTACCCCAGTTCTGTATGAATAAATAAATCTTTAAAAAAAAAACAGATTCTTGTGCCAAAAACAAGAATAAAATACATTTTATTCTTAAAAATCAATTATGTTTTATTAGAGACAAGTGTAAAGATGATACACATCACATGCATTCCTTTTTGGGAAAAATAATGTAAAAATGGGAGCAAATTAAATCAAGGGAAGAACTAAGCCTTTGAAATATATATGCGCACACACACACACAAACTCACTAATAAAATGTATTCCAATTACAGCAATGTTAATCAGACTTACAAAGGTGGTTTTAAGTATTGTGTCTAAAGGGGGAAGTCCTACACAAGCATCTCTACAGGCAGAATCTCTGAAGAAAACCTGAAGCACAAAAACAATAATTACTGAAATCTGTTTACTGACTGAGCCAAATAGTCTTCAAATATAATCTCAACTGTTGTCAAATTGTTTATGGCTGTAAAATGGCTGTAAGCTTTATATCACTAGAAAAAGTTTACAACTATCAGTCTATAATGCACACCTATATCCCACTCTGTGTGACCACTCAAGGGGAGCTAAACTTTAGAGACCTATAAAAGGCAGAATGGCATGAAATGATAAAATGTGTATCATAAATAAGATTTGATGATATCCAAGTTTTCTAGGAGGATCTATTACAAAGTCTGGACTTAAAATGAACTTTGGAAGTGTGGGGGATTTAAATAGATGGAAAGCATGAATGAGAGCCCTTCAGATAATTCACCCAGAATTAGCAATTTACTGAGGGGATGAGAAAAGCAGGGCAGAGTAATATTGACAAAGTATTAAAATTTGGATATATAATTTCATAGAAAGTGCCCAATGTAGACTATAGGTTAGAGATTATGTTGCAAATATCAGTTAAAAGCTTATAATTTTAAAATATGTATGTTAATATTTGAGAACCTTGAAATTCAGCACATGATTTTGTGAGCAGGACTCTCAACTATTAATAGCAATATAGAAGATAAAGCTGAACACGCTGGACAGAATAAGCTAGAGAATGACCTGAGACAGGTGGTGAAGGACTGAGGTCAGAGTAAAAGGAGTAGTAATTGGGGGGTAGGAGATGAAGGGAAAGAAGTGAGAAGAATTCAAAGGAAATATCAATATCAAATACCAACATCAACTAGTGAGGGATTCATTACATTAAAGAGAACAGCTGTACTATGAAATTAATTGTATGAGAAAATTGTGGCACCATGCTCAAAAATGAATTTTGCAAGGGGCACTAAGAAGTATGGAATGGACACACAAGTGAGAAGTCAGGGAGGGATAAACAGGTAGGATTAACAGTTTTGTGGTCAATGAAGCTGTAAGAGGATGTGAGCTTGCCATGAACAGCAGAAGTCAGACAGCTCAGAATGATGAAGATGGAGCTTTGGGAAGGTTGCTAACTCCCCCTTCATAAGAGGAAGGGGAAAAGAGAGTTGTGGAAACAGACGAGGGCTGAGAAAAACAAGACTGGTATATGCCATCAAAGGAAGAGAAAGCCTCGAAAAGGAAAGGAAAACCATGTTTAACATGTTACCTCCTGCACTGGATTATGTATGTTCAAATCCTATCTCTATCATTTGTTAGTTACACGTCAAATGATTTTTTTCTTAGTTTCATTTTTTAAATGATAATAATATAATCTATCTTGTAAGGATAAATAAGAAAACATATACAGAATGCTTGGCATAATATCTGGTACAGCTAAGTTAATAGGTATAGTGGTACTTTTAAGGAAACAAAATGTCAAGAGCAGAAAAAAAATTATAAGAGGTCAAAAGATTGAGCACTGAGAAAAGACAATAGGTATGTAAAGTTTACCAGAGATTCTTTGCCCTAAAGGAAAGAGAGCACAGAACAGTTGTTAGACAAAGCTATTCAGTGAACAAAGATTTCACATAAGTTTGTTCTATACTAACCGTGGCTTGTCATTTCATGTAAGTCTATTTAATTAGAGTTGAGCCAAATTTCCATTTGCATGAGACCATTTGAGCATCCAGAATAGAAATCAAATAAATGTGCAACTAAAATCATGACCAAATATACACAGGCAGTAAAATGTTATTCCCTCTGTGGAAAACACTATGGTGGTCCCTCAAAAAACTAAAAAATAAGGCCCTCTCTGGTGGCACAACAAGGTAAAGCACAGCACTGTGAAGCTACCGCAGCCACTGTGGCACAAATTCAATCCCTGGCCAGGGAGGTGACCCACATGGCACAGAAGACCTCTTCTAATCCATTTGCTGCTCCCTTCAGCAGTGTATTTCAGTCAATCTGCCTGTTCTGTTCCCTACTCTGTCTCTGGTGAATCCTCTCACACTCCTCACCTCTGCCTGTACCCCAGTTCTGTATGCATAAATAAATTTAAAAAATTAAAAATAGAATAACCATATAATCTGACAATCCCACTTCTGAGTATACACCCCAGAGAAGTGAAAATGGGCATAGACACGTGTATACTCATGTTCAGAGCAGCATTATTTATAATAGTCAAATAGTATAAGTCTTATAAAAGGCATGAATGAATTTTTATCATCAGATGAACCAATAAAAGTAAAAGTGGTAAATATAAGATATTATTCAACCTTAAAAAGGAAGGAAAATTTGACATATCCTACAGCAGGGAAGAACTTTGAAGACATAAGTGAATTCAGTTAGACACAAAAGGATAACAGTTGTGAATGAAATCACCTTACAGAAGTACTGAGAATATTCAAATTCATAGAAAGCAGAGCTGGGGTAGGAGACCAAGAGAAGTTGTTTAAAGGATATAGAGTCCCAGCTGGGGAAATGAAAACTTTTGGAAATGGATGGTGGTGATGGATACAAAACAGTGTGAATGTATTTAATTAGTAATGATTTTAAATATACAATTCAAAAAATGTCTCTTAAAAGCAAATGAAACATGTTCATTGTTGTTTATTGGTGCATAGAATTGTTAACCCTCTATGGATTTTCATTTTTGTTTCTATTTGTCCTGAACTTCTATATTTCAGCCAAATATAGAAGTTCTTCTTTTTTTTTTTTTTTTACAATTAAAGTCGATAAACAGATGCAGATGTAAAGACAGAGTTTTTGGAGATGGATGTTAATGATTGCTGTTAATGATCATTTTTATTTGGAAATAAGCTAATGTCAAATAATTCACACTAATTTCTGCTATAATTCTTACTCAATCATTAAGAGTTGCATGACATGGAAGACATCCATGTAATACTAATGAGTTAATGACTTGTTTTGTAAGACCCCTTATTTATTTACACAAATATATATTCCATTTTAAAAGTTCTGTAAAGAGACATTCACTATTCTGGGTTGACATCATTAAGGGATTTTTTTGTTTCTTTCTTGATCTCCTCTACTCTTTTAATGAACTAGTATTCTGGTTTTTCATTTAAAGGACAACTATTAACAATAACAAAAAGCAGGGATGACTTTCTAACCTTAGGCTTGCGTAACAATAGAACGCATCTGTTTTATAGAGTAGTGACTCCCTAACACTAAGATGTCAAATAGAGGCTGGGTGACTTCCCCTCCAGAATTCTGTCATTTTACGATTCAAAGATTCTCATTTTATTTTTCTCTCCTTTCAATAGGTCAACCCAATCAATGCCTCAGACAGAGAAGCAAATATGCATCCCTCCAGAGCTCCCCGAATTGCTGAAGCAATTTACCAAAGCAGCCATTCGGACCCAGCCACAAGATCTCATCCAATGGGCTGCGGAGTACGTACACCTGTCTCATCTCCTCCCAACTCCAGCTGGAGGTGGTGTTGGGTAGAGAATGGAAGCTGTTGGAAAACTGGAGGAGGTTGTCATGGCTGCAGCCTGAGTCAGGACTGATTAGCATAATCTTTCTGATGTTCAGCTTCCCGTTGCTTTGATTCTTTAAAATTCACACATAAATACATCAAACTGGGTGAGGATGGGATTCCTTGCCCCTAAGCCAATCAGACTCAACAGTAGGACGCCGCAGTAATAGGCAACGTGTTCTGGAGCAATCTTCAAGAGCTAAATTACGACATCCCAACATCACACGCACATTCCACCTGGCCGCGGTATCCACATTTACTATCCCTGTGAAAGAAGGGTTCAACAACTCCTAGGAGCTGAGCCTGCCTTTCCCAAGTGTAAACCAGGACCCGGTTCTCGGGTCTCACCACTAGATGGTAGCAGAGCACATGGGGGCGGGAGCGGGGATGAGACAAGCCGCAGGATGGATGTGTGGGAACAGCCCAAGACGGTGCACTCCTGTGTTATTCCTTTAATGAGACACCTTCCACCACTCCTGTTACAATTCATTCTTGTCCCCAACCAGAGACACTTTGCAGCTTGTCTTTTGAGAAAATTGTTTTCTTTAGTGTTTCTTTGAACGTATTTGTTCTATCAACATAAGGATGTCCACAAGGTATACTTTGCACTCTGGAGAAAGAAGGAAAAATAATCATGAAGCAGGGGAAGCAACGCCTGTGCTTGAAAAAAAAAAAAAAAAAAAGGTGGACAAGCACACCGGAACTCAGAATCCAGTGAGTGAGGCAAATACACCCACATATTATTGTAGAATTCAAAAAAAAAAAAAAAAGGTGTGCTTGAATCACAAGTGCTCTCTTTCAGGAGAGACCAGAAGCTGCTTAATTGAAGGCGCTTACACAATAGTTGCTAACCGGGATTGGAAAAGCTATGAAATTACTTAGCCAAGTGTGCCTGCTTGAAACTGAGGAATTGGGGCTTGGGACAGTAGGTGGCAGCTAATTAGACCTCCTGGACCATTCTCAGGTTAAGTTTACTGTTCGATGACGACCGGCTTAGTGTCGTGTCAGTGCAAGGTGGGGAGTAAGAGAGGCAGCTGAGGAGAGCCAGTCAGTGGGGAGAAGGGAAACTGTCCTCAGCCCAGAGGCTGGATAGGTGTGTTGAGTAGGTGACTGGCCTTTGAGGAGCCTTCCAGAGCTTTAGCCAGTGCTCTTGGGCTCCAGGGTTGGGCCAGGATGACACTTTTACAAATGGAAAGAAAATAAGCCTATAGTGGTAGTAAAATGGGACATGAACAGAGTTGCTTTGCTAGTCATGAGCCCTGCTTAGTTTTCCATTCTAAATTGTACATGTTTCCTCTAAGATTATACTCAAAATACTAATTTCTTCTGGCATATTCAGACTGTCTTACACTAAACAACAGTTTAAAATCCCCTTTTATTGTTCTTGCGCTGCTGTTTTGTAGCAAGAAAAATGACGTTTCTTGATATTGTCCCTGACATTTATGGAAGAAAACATTCCACTTTTGTAAACCTGCTTGCTCCCATATTGTATCATGTGCTATAAATTTTTTAGATAACCATGAAGAGTCACTTATAGTGTAACTACATTGGGAAAATGAGAGCATGATCTCAGAGCGCTCTCCATCCTATTCAGACTTGAGAAGATCTTATCAGGTGGTTTTATGTAACAAACAAACCTGTAACATTTTAGAGAATAAACTCCAAAAAATATTTCCAGGACAAAAAAGTTAGTTCATCACAGGCAAGAATTTCCCTAAGTATGAGCCACCTACCAGGCACCAGCAGGACAGGTAAATGAATCTCATGATAGGTATTTGCATGTGACAACCCAAGTTCACAATGTATGTGAATAACCATGGAATTGTTTATTGCAAATGAAGATGGACTAAATTCATGACTACAGCCTCATTTACATGTTCTGGAACCAATTCCACTAAAAAGTGCAAAAACATTGCTGCTGAATTTTATTGCTGGGCAATTATTTCTGTCAAATGAGGTGCTATGTTTTCTGTCTCTCCTATTCTCATCACCCAAATCTTGTTCTAGAGCCTGAGGCCATAACCCGCCCTTATTGTCATACTGAACCCACATCTGCCCCCAACAACGCACTCAGGCACATAGTTAAAGATGACCTTCAAGTATTTCTTCTGCCCTCCAGGCTGATGACCTCCAAGGGTACCTGGAAGGTGTTGTCTTAGTCCTGTAGCTTTAGATTTGTGTTGCTCTGTGGCTTAGAGACAAAGGGTGTCCCATCATTTTGGATTGACCCTAAAATGGGCTTTTACAAAAATCCCCTCTGATCTTTTTATGTTCCCTGCATCAGGAGAAAGTCGTGAAAATAAAGCAGAGAGGAGCAGAGGTTTGTGATGAAGGGGTAGTCCACAACAAAACTCTTGATGGAGAGAGACTCTTTCATACAGCATCAGTGAATTGGTTCAAGGGCTTGTGGTCCATTCCCTGCAAGCAGCTCCTTTTCATCTTTTTGCCAATCCTAGAACAAAACTTGATATTTTTATCACGTTGTACCAAAATAAAGTCCACTTCATGAAACAATGGTAGGCAGGTCAATTTTACTGAAATGTGTGAAGGAAGGTTACCTTAAGTGCTCCAGGCTTGTCTTTTCACCTAAGTCTGTGCGCTGTCAACCTTTTCTCCTTTTCCTCTTAAAGCCTGAAACCTGACCCCAAACCCTTCCTGGATCACTCCTTTAGCACCTCCCTTTCTGCCAATTGCTTAAGCAATTCATTTAGTTCTTGTCCAATTGCTTTCTCGAAGACACCACCACTGCCTATCATCAACTTAAAAGTATAGTGAACATAAAGATTTTGCTTGTTTCTTTTTTTAAAAAAGAAAACTTCAATACTAGAATTACTCATTCCAAAAAAGTAGGAAATTTAAAATAATGATTTGCTTTTCTCCCCTATTGTGTGTGTATGTGTATAATACACACATTATATATGCACGTATATATGTACATATATATACATAATACACATAATATATACATAAACTATATATATGCATTTACATATATATTGTAGGAAGTATCTATGTGTGTGTATACTTGCAGGAATATACATAAAACACTTAAGAGGGACTGAAAAAAAAAAAGCCTCTTACCCAATATGCTTCAGAGAATACCATACCAAACTTTTATTGATTATGCTTCATCCCTAGAGAGGAAGAATCTTTTTTTTATTCCCTAGCACTCTTTATACTTTAAGTGGAAAGTAGTACTTTCAGGCATTTCTTATATATAAGTGAACTAACTTTAAAAAAAAAAAAAAACAGTGTCTGGTATATGGTAGTCACTCAACATTTTTTCCTCTATCGGCTTCCCTCAAAAAAAAAAAAAAAAAACAAATGTGGGGAGGGGATTCCCAAAGCAACTGGAGGCACATAGAGTGATCCTGCTATCCCCTGACTTTTCCTCTTGCAGTTATTTTGGGGCTATGTCCCGGGGAGAGATCCCTCCAGTGAGAGAGCGGTCTGAGCGAGTTACTTTGTCTAACTGGGCAGAACTTACACCTGAGCTGTTAAAGATCCTGCATTCTCGGGTAAGGACCATGCTGTACTATCTCCCGGAATACGTGCGTGTTGGGGGGTGGGGGTGGGGCTGCAATATGGAGGCTGTGTGGGTACAGAGAAAATTCAACCATCCCCCTGCCAGCCAATTGGCCAATCAACGTCATCATAAACCACTAAAGTACACACTGAAAATAAATCTACTGGGGAAATAGGAATATTGAAGTGGACTGTGAGCTCAATGAGTTATCAGGGGGTCACTCCAGATTTCTCTGAAAATGGCAGAATAGCTCTTTCCTCCTCAGGAAGTGCAGATCCAGGTTTCTTGGCTTTTTTATTGATCAAGACCACAACATTATGCCAATCACAGTTTGGCTGGGCGGGGGGGTCAGGGGTGGGGGTGGAATATTATTTCCCCAGTTATCTCTGATAGAGATACAGCCAATATTTAGGGAAAACCAGGCTCATAACAGCCACCTCATCATGGAAGATGCCCGGTGACTACATGGGGAGGATCTGGCTTGGGAAAGCATGTTTTGATTGATCATTCATTAGAAAATATGGTGTGCATCACGTTAGGATCCAGTGAGGGCAGGCCCCAGGACAGAGAGGTTTGGGACTGACTTAACCAACTGTGCTGGTCCCTGAGACTTCGTGTTTTAACAGAATAGAGGGCCAGACAAGGTAGATAGCACATCACTGGGACATCTGTACCCTTAGTACATTGTTGGCCAGTAACTGGCCATTGTCATCCTTGTGCAGAAGGCAAACAGAGATTTGAGGTACCCAAGCCCAAACAATATTAGACATCCAGAACATAAACCCCTACATTATGACTGAGAAAGCCTGAGGGGTGCATAAACTAAAAGTGAAAACTTCTAGCCAAGGGTACTGGGGTATAGAATGATCCCCCTATCCTTCCTGAGGGGAATCTTTTCCCTCTCAGTTAAGATCATGCTCTGTTCATGAGCCAAAAGCCAGGGTTAGTGCAAAAACTCAGAGGAGACTAGAAGCCAGTTTTTTAGCTTCTAGTTCTAGTTTCACCCTAATTAGTAGTTTCAGAAAAAAGAACTCTGCCTCTTGGCTTGATTCTGGTTGTTCTATTTTCTTGTAAGGATAAATTAGAAATAAAAACAACAGATCATAAATGCATCCCAAAAATGCAATATAAATGCATATTTTTCTTGTAATTCTGACATTTGAAGTTTAAATGGTTAAACTCTAACTCAGTTTGCTCCTCTAGGGGCTGAAATCTTCACAAGGAAAACTGCCAGAGATATGGTCACTACCCCCACACCCCCACCTCCAACATCATTGCCTCTTGCTGAGTGTTGGGAGAACAGGGTAGGGGTAGGGTACACCTGGGCTGGTGTTTCTCAGAGAAACATTCTCTTATCCTGTCCTTATTCTTTGTCTTGTGACTGTATCTCCCCCCTTCACCCCGTTTTCCCCTCTCCCCCAATGCAGGTTGCTGGTCGGCTGATCATCCATGCTGATGAACTGGCCCAGATGTGGAAGGTGCTGAGTCTCCCAACAGATCTGTTTAATAGTGTGATGAATGTGGGCCGCTTCACGGAGGAGATTGAGTGGCTCAAGTTTTTAGCCCTTGCTTGCAGCTCTCTTGGAGTTGTAAGTTAGATTTAATGTTTTTTGTTCCTTAAGGGACCCGTAGTCCTGGAAGGGCAGTTCAGCTGCACAGGCCCCTGTCTGGGACTGGTGATGAGCCTGCAGTCCTTGTCTGTTTCTTCTCCCTTCTGAGTTAAGGTCACTTCTCTGTTCACCAACCAAAAGCTGAGGTTAGATGAGAGAAGGGAAAACTGTCATCAAATCTGGGGAGAGGATGACTAAAATGTGGTCTTGGGATTTTATATAAATTTTAATTCTAGCATTCAGATTTATTTCTGTCACCATTCCATCCCCTCATTCATATTCCTAGAGATATCCCAGACCAGATGTAGATTGAGATTTGCTTATGCTTGAGTTCCAGACACCTAGAAGATATACAAAAAGACTTTTCAAGAAGAGGCAGCCTTTTAGAAACCTCTATTTGATAAGCATAACTGGATACAAAAATCCAAGATGACAGAGCAAGTAAAGAGAGATGAGGCTATTTCTAGACTTATAATCATGACATCACCAGGGAATGCAGAATGTTCATACAAATTCATGCATTTTCCAAACTGACTCAGTTTACAACTGGAAAAGCATTTTTCCTGTTTTAAAGAAAAGGAACTGTAAAGAGATTATTTATATATGTATATATTCATTTTATACACACACACACACACACACACATGTATATTGAAAGAGAGATCCTAAAACTTTAGGTATCATCCTATATAGAGACTCATTCTTGTTAAACATGGCATATTAAGTGAACATAAACCAGCAATAGATTTTTTTAATTCCTGAAATATATATACTCAAGTTTGTAAGTTAATGAGGGGCTGTGTGCTCCTGGCCTCTCTCTGCCTGCTGCACGTGCTCCTCCCCCTCTTCCTCTTCAGCTCACTTCCGGGTCCATGCACCCAACCAGTCTCGCCAGGGCCATGCTCTCTCGGGATCGGCAGTTCCAGAAGTTGCAGGAATGGCACCGCAAGAACAGCTCAAAGCTCAGCTTGCGCCACCTTTTTGAAGGGGACAAGGAACGCTTCAACCGCTTCAGCCTGCTCCTCAACACCAACCATGGGCATATTCTGGTGGATTACTCCAAGAACCTTGTGACGGAGACTGTGATGCAGATGCTGGTGAACCTGGCGAAGTCCAGGGATGTGGAAGCCGCCCGGGATCGTATGTTCAGTGGGGAGAAGATTAACTTCACCGAGGACCGGGCAGTGCTGCATGTGGCCCTGCGGAACCGGTCAAACACACCCATTTTGGTGGATGGCAAGGATGTGATGCCAGAAATTAACAGGGTCCTGGAGAAGATGAAGGCTTTCTGCCAGCGTGTCCGGAGTGGTGACTGGAAAGGGTACTCAGGCAAGGCCATCACGGACATCATCAATATTGGCATCGGTGGCTCTGACCTGGGGCCTCTCATGGTGACAGAAGCCCTCAAGCCTTACTCTTCAGGAGGTCCCCAGGTCTGGTTTGTCTCCAACATCGATGGGACCCACATTGCCAAAACTCTAGCTGTACTGAACCCTGAGACCTCTCTGTTCATCATTGCCTCCAAAACCTTTACCACCCAGGAGACTATCACAAATGCAGAGACTGCCAAGGAGTGGTTTCTTCTGTCCGCCGGGGACCCTTCTGCAGTTTCGAAGCACTTTGTTGCCCTGTCTACCAACATGACTAAAGTGAAGGAGTTTGGAATTGACACACAAAACATGTTTGAGTTCTGGGATTGGGTAGGAGGGCGCTACTCGCTGTGGTCAGCCATTGGACTCTCCATTGCTCTGCACATCGGGTTTGACAACTTTGAGCAGCTGCTCTCGGGGGCTCACTGGATGGACGATCACTTCCGCAAGACACCCCTGGAGAAGAATGCCCCTGTCCTGCTGGCTCTGCTGGGTGTCTGGTATATCAACTGCTTTGGGTGTGACACACAGGCCATACTGCCCTATGACCAGTACATGCACCGCTTTGCTGCCTACTTCCAGCAGGGTGACATGGAGTCCAATGGGAAGTCTATCACCAAGTCTGGCACCCGTGTAGACTACCAAACGGGCCCCATTGTGTGGGGGGAGCCAGGCACAAATGGCCAGCATGCCTTCTACCAGCTCATCCACCAAGGCACCAAGATGATACCTTGTGACTTCCTCATCCCAGTCCAGACCCAGCACCCAATACGGAAGGGTTTGCATCACAAGATCCTCCTTGCTAACTTCTTAGCCCAGACTGAGGCCCTGATGAGGGGGAAAACAACAGATGAGATCAAGAAAGAGATGCAGGTTGCAGGAAAGAATCCTGCTGACTTTGAGAAGCTGTTGCCACACAAGGTCTTTGAAGGAAACCGCCCAACCAACTCTATTGTGTTCACCAAGCTCACACCATTTATTCTGGGAGCCTTGATTGCCATGTATGAGCACAAGATCTTCGTGCAGGGTGTCATTTGGGACATCAATAGCTTTGACCAGTGGGGAGTGGAGCTGGGAAAGCAGCTGGCTAAGAAAATTGAACCTGAGCTTGATGGCAGCAGCCCAGTGACCTCTCATGATTCCTCCACCAATGGGCTGATCAATTTCATCAAGCAGGAACTTGAGGCCTGAAGCCAATAAACTCATGCTCCACAGCAGCCTCTGTTGTAACTGGTCCTTCTTGTCCCACCTCACCAGAGTCTGAACTACATGGTTCTGTCCAGAGCACTGACTGGTCACTGGCTTGGAACAGAGCCCTTTGGGGGATCGTGGTCTGGAATTTCCATTCTCGCCCCTCCATGTTCACAGGCCTTCTGTTTCACTTTTGATGGGAGTGTTTCAGTGCAACTGACCTGTAGAAAAATAAAGATGCCTTCAAGGAGTAGGGAAAAAAGTTAATAGAAAATTATTGCCTTTGCCCAAAGCAAATAGTATGAAGAGGTAGTTTTGAGTCATTCAGCATATCTAAACATCATATTTTTTTTTCCTTCAAATATGCTGGAAATGTGTATTTGGCATTTTTTGTTTCTGGGAAAAATTGCCCAGAAATACTGTAGACCAAGTTTTCCTATCAGTTTCCCCTGCAACTTTCATCATAATTATAATAAAATAAATTACTCTCCTTCAAAGAGGAGAAGAAAATTACTGCAGGGACAGGTGAGTTCTAGTCAGTACTATCATATTTCTATGGAAATAGCCCCAAGGACTGAGGGAAAATCAGGGGAGAAAATAAAAAAATTGAGACATGAAGTTCTCATAGGGTCACCGATTTATTCATCTCACAGAAATGTTCAGGTCCTTCCAGAAAAGAACTTTATCTTTTGTTAGTTCTGATCTTCCTGATTATTGAAATGGTTGAGTAAGAAAATAGTCAACTCACTCCTAGAATTTTAGTCTGATATAATAACTGAAACCACTTTAAGGGCCGTTCTCTCAGTGTCTCTTCTTCACTCCTCTCTCCAAGGTGGCAGCTGAGTGTGCAGAGAAAAGGGCAACTCAGCACTCAGAGCTGCCAAGTGAAGCATATTCCGCATCCCTTAGTTCTCCCTGGCATCTCAGAGCTCCATGGAAAAACTCATCTGTGTGGTCAGCAGATACTTGCAGCTATGACTTTGGTCTCCTCTCTCTCCCAGCATGGCAATTTTCCCACTAGTTCATCTCCCTTCTTACTAGCGCTTCCTTGAATCTTGGGTTGTCCTCATCTTCTTTCTGGTTCCACTGCCTTAACAGAAGTCTGAGTCTCTCTTGTCCACTTAACCTCACTTAAGTAACCAAGAGTGACTTTGGGAAGCTAAATTCCAACCCTTCCTACTACTATAAATTTTGTAGATTTACTTGATATGGCTGCCTTCCAGATTATGAAGCAGGCCCTGAGGTGACTGATATCCTTCTACTTCCATTCTAAAATGAGGATGCCAGATTAGATGTTCCATGAAGTTCTTTCATTTCTAATATCCTGTGATTCTGTCCCCATTCTCTGCTTCTGCTGAGACATACTGAGGCACGATTCAGTGGACTAACTTGTCTGACTTTGACCCTCATCATTCCTTTGTCAAAAACTACTGAGTGATCAAGTCAACCTAAGTTGACTAGTCCCTAAATAAGGGGCCCCTGAAGAATCCAGGGACCAGTTTCCCTTGGTTTCATGTTGGAATGTTGCTGAAGGCTTTTCAGTCTAGTTAATCCATATATCCTTATAGGAAAGCACAGCAATTCCCTCTTTCCTTTGCCAATTCACCAACTAGCCATGATCTCCATGCCATTAGAAAATCCAATTTCCTCCTTGCAGATGAATATAATGGCAAGGATGTTTGCCAGCAGGTGCATTTACTCCAGTCTTGAGCATTCTTGGGCTACACATGTGATTCTAAGTGCCACATGTAGCCCTGTATTCCATTTCCCTCTCATCACTCCTTTTTGCACATCAGCTCTGTCACCACCTTTCCATTAATCATATAATTGTGTTCACTGGAAGGTCTGACAGTTCATTAGCACATACTTTCTGAGCCTTTCACTCCTGAGTTGGAAAATGAGGCTCCAAAGATGCTTGAAGGCTTCCATGATGACGTGGGTCCCCAACCCCATCTTGTGCAACAGAATGTAGAACCTCTACTAAATTTAAGTATTTTTTAGTTTACTAAAAGTTCCAATCCAGAGAGTCTTCCTTCATTCACTCATTTATTGAATCTTGTAAGTTGTTTTAGGTATTTCAACATTTAGTCAGAAGACTTACTGTTTCAGTGACCAAAAAAGATGATGTTTGGGATAGAAAGCACCTATGTTAGTTTGTTAGGGCTGCCATAATAAGCACCATGGGCTGGCATAAAAAGCAGAAATGTATTTTTTCACAATTCTGGAATCTGGAAGTCTGAATTCACCATGCTTGAGGTCTCTCTGTGTCCTGTAAATGACTGTTATCTTCCTGTTCTTCACCTAGTTGTCTCTGTGCATGCATGTGTGTGATTCCTCTCCATAAAACCTTCACCCCAAACCTTCTCTCCTATAGACTCCAGTCTATTGGATTAGACTAAAATAAGTTCATGTTAAGTTAATCACTCTATAAAGGCCATATTTTTAAACAGTACTAGGGCTTCAAGAAAATGAATTTTAGGCAGACACAATTCAGCCTATTAATACCACCTCAATTTGTATGAGACTGCAGAAGCACTACAGAGCAAAGACAGTAGGAGAGCAGTTGGGGTTTTTTTGTTTTGTTTTTAAAGAAAAGCCAAGAGGATGAGTTATCAGTGGAAACTATGCAGTTCAATGCACAAGTGCTTGCAACTTTACCTAAAACCATTGTCTTCCAGACCTCATCTCATGAGCATGCCTTCCCACCCACTGACAGCCTCCTGTTCACCAGCCTGGCACACTGACTCATGCCTGGCTTCATCTTAGTTTCCAGGAGAGGACTCCTAGGGGTAGGAGAGAATAAACAAAAGTGGCCTGCTGCAAACTCAAAATTTCTTTGACAACCTGTGGTTTAGCATTTTTCAATTCATGGACATTGAAGAATCTATTTCATAAAATAGCAAAGGTTACAAAGTAAAGAAACAAAATGTAAATATTCAAGCAGGTAAAATGAGTAATTAATACAACTAGTGTTTAAATTACATATCATCATATACAGCTGCCTTTCCAAGAAGATGGGCCAAGTTTACCCAACATCCTCACATACCTCCTGTGTGTGTAATGCATCTGTGTAACACACATTCATACACCACAGTTAAAGCAGCACCATCGAGGTGTCACATACAGGGAGAGAGAGCAGCGCAGTCAACATCAAACAGCAAACCAAGAACAGTGCAGTCATTTGAGGGGCTAGAACAGCTGCTTGTTCACTCACCCAATTCACCCCTCAGAATGAACTTTACCCTGATCCCTGGAGAGAGTGAGAATTGTCTACCCCTGTTGTTTTCGTAATCAACCATGCTATGCTGCCCTATCTTTGCTAATTCAGAGCTCAACATCCTGTCTTTGAATCATTTCTTTCCTTTATCCTTCCATTTCACAGCTCTCACTTGTGAAATGTATTCAGAGGGAGGGTAGGTTTTTTTTTTTTTTTTAAAAAAAAAGGAAAGAAAACCCCCCCTTTTCTTCTTCCTTCAATTTTATTGTCAGTTGTTTACATAGCTATATGATTTGGAGGGTACCTCTTCACACACCCACATGCACATACTCACTCACTCACCACGGGCCCTGCCAGTGTCATATCTGCTCCCCGACCCCACTCTTTCCTCACTCCCACCCATCCCCTCTGGTGATCAGTATATTTTTTACAGAGTCTAAGAATTGTTTTTGCTGTGCTTCGCCAGTTTGTTTTCTTAGGTTATTTGTATACTACAAATGAGTGGAAACCATCCAGTGTCTTTCCCTTTCTTTTCTTTCTTAACACATCACCTCAAGATTCATTCATTTTTGTTCTAAAAGTCACCATTTTACTATTTCAGATAGCTGAGCAGTAGTTCACTGGGTATATGTTCTATAACTTATTTATCCAGTCATCTGTTGCTGGGCTCCAGGCCGGTTCCACAACTTTACTATTGTGAATAATGCTGCTATGAACGCAGTAGTGCATCAATATTTTTGCACGAGAGTTTTCATATGCTTTGGATAAATACCTACCAATGGTTTTGCTGGCTCATATGAGATTTCCACTTTTCTTTTTTTGAGGAATGTCATGCCATTTTCCATAGAGGTTGCACCAAATTGCTTTCCTACCAACAATGTTGTGAGTTTTCCTTTTTCTCTACATCTTCACCAACATTTGTTGCTTTTCAGATATAGACCATTCTCACAGAATGAGATCTCATGAGGTAAGATCTTGTTGTAGTTTGATTTGCATTTCCCATATAGTGATGTTGAACACTTTCCATGTGTCTGTAAGCCATCTGAGTGTCTTCTTTGGAGAAATGTTTATGCCACTTGCTGATTATTAATTATTTTTTTGGTGAAGGGCAAAATTTGGAAAATAAACAATTGTCAGATTGGTGATATGAAACTGTCTTCTCCCAGTCAGTAGATTGCCTTTTTGTTTTTGTGTTGATTTCCTCTGAGGTATGATAGAGTCCCATTTATTTTTGTCTTTCCCTCCTTTGATTTTGGAGTTGTACTCCCAAATATATCTCTGTTTATATACAGGACTATAGCACCAATGTTTTCTTTTAAGTGTTCTAGGTGTTAAATCCATTTTGATTTACTTTTTTGTATGGAGTTAACTGAGGATCTGGTTTCATTTGAATGTGGCTTTCCAATTTTCCTAGCACCACTTGGTGAATAGTCTTTCCTTTCTCCATTGTATGGTCCTGATTTCTTGACAAAGTTTAACTGTATTTATCTTAAAACCAGTTCTGAACATGATCTTCTAATGTCCAAGTTTCACTGTCAGGAGTATTTGCTTCTATAATAGCTTTTCCATTAAAACTCCTGCACACATCATTGATTAATTTTTTCCCCAGTTACAATAAGGTAGGTGTTATGTCATAAAGCACTAGGTGGCTCTGATTAGGTGGATCCATCTGTTTTGTAGAAACTGGTTTTATCTTGATACTCAGTGTTGCTTTTTCTGCATCTGGAACTTTTATCTTCCTAGAAACATTACCATTCTCCTACCCCTCTTCCCTACTGTGGCACTGCTGTAAATATGTCTCTGGAGTATATAAGCTAGGCTAGATGCCTCAGCCCTTTAGAGAGATGATTGAACAACAAAAAGAATGATTCCAATTTCATAGAATATAAAATCAAATACCCTACCGGATTAAAGTAATATCTTAAAGGTACCCAGCAGCTTATACATTTAACCTCTTCAGAATAATCCTCCAAAAAGAAAGAAAAGGATGCAAATTTTAGGGTGCAAAAAACTAAAGCTTTCCAGAATATCTCATCATTCCAACCTTATTTTGAGAGTAATATTTTTGTTTTCGATTGTGTATCTAAACTGGTATTAGTAATGTAGTCTGTTGACTTTCTCCTTTTTAATCTTATGGCTTTATAGACCATTGCAAAAACTCTCAAGATAGTGTGTGAAGTTTTATCATCTGATCATGATGGTGGACCTCCTCGGATTCCTTTTAGCACCTTCCAATTTCTCTACACATATATTGCTGAAGTGGATGGGGAGATCTCTGCGTCTCATGTCAGCCGAATGCTAAACTACATTGAACAGGAAATGTGAGTACATTTTACTGGGTGAGGGAAATCAGTACAAGGAAAACAAACCTAGCACACCAAGATATAGTGGAGTTACTGTAATGAGGAAGAAACAGGATATAGGCCTGAGGCACACTGGTAAAAGAACTCACCAGAGACAGAGTAGAGAACAGAAAAGGCAGATTTATTTGCATTCACTGCCTAGAGAAGCTGGGGTAAGACGGAGAAGTCTGCATTGGCAGCAGGTTTGAGGCTCTCCTTTATGCTGTCTTCATGGGCTTTCTGACTTTGGGTTCACACCAGTTACCTGCGGGGATGTCTGGTCTCAGGCGCTGGCCTTTGACACAGAAACATGTCCTGGCCTCTGCTTCTGCATTCCTGGAACTGGGCGGGCTTTTATATTCAGGTGGTCAGTCTTGGCCTTTTCCCCAAGGCAGCTTTGTCCAGTCCCTGATCTGTTCAAGTCTCCCAAATCTGCATGCAGGGCAGAATGAGGCCTTAGTTTTTAAACTTATTAAATTGTACCACAATGGTTACTATATTATAGCGCACTGGGAACAGGGAAATATTGCAAACAGGAAATGAGGATATGAGAGAGAGGGAAAGGAAAGGGAGAAAATGTTATGGACAGCAATTCTTAGATGGCTACAGAGACACAGCGGTCATTGCATCACCAGTAATGTTAGAAATGTGACTTTTCAGGCTGCATACTGCACCTCCTGAATCAGAAGCCACAGGGTTGGGGGACAGATGATGGTGTCATAGCCCTCCAGATTACTCTGGCTCATGCTCCAGGGGGTGGGAGTGTCAAAAGCCCAGGGCTAAGAAGGGTGGTGAGGGCAGGAGCCACAACAATTTGAACAGAGCTGCTTCTGTATTCACTCTCTTAAGATTGATTGCTGAATGACCTAACCCTGTCTATCTTTTTTCCAAACAGAATTGGTCCTGATGGATTAATCAAGGTGAATGACTTTACCCAAAACCCCAGGGTTCGGCTGGAGTAAAAGCACACTTTTGGCAATTTTAAAGGAAAATACAGATGAGTGTGCTTCAGGATGACTAAATCACACACACCATCCAGTGTCAATTTTCTTGTACAACTAGTACACTAATAAACACTTAGGCAAACATGAAATCAGAAATGTGTGGAATGAAGATGTAAACTTGTTGGAACAAAGCACCTACATTAGTGGAAGATTAGTATTCTCCCCACATGGCCAACAGAGTAAAAGCGGCTGACAAGAACACAGATAGAAAATGCATCTCAAGATAAAGCCAGATTGTTAGATTTTCTAAGATAGAATGTTAATCAGACCCAGTTTTTATGTTTTGTGATTGTTAGGCGTGACTTACTGAGTATCGTTTACATAGTGAATACTGAGTTGTTCCCAATATAAACTAAGGTTAGCTTTATGCCAGTTAAAATATAGGACACACAAAACTTGAATTTTGGACAAGTAAATTTTAGTACTTTTGTTCAACTAGGCAATCCTAACCAGGAGTTATGGTGGCTTCTGGGCACATACCAATAAATCATATCTGAAGTCTGCCCTCAAGGAGTTACAGTCTAACACAAAGAGAACGGCAAACCCAAAGACTTAATGCAAGTAGCCTTGAGACATTCTAATAAAATGTTTGAGAGATCACCATTAAAAAGTCAATGTCAGCCAACTGATTTCTCTGACACAATTTGCAGATGTAATAGGACCCTGCTTGAGTTTAAGACCTTTGACAAGGTCACTGAAAGATTTTTCTTTCTCCCAGGAAGAAAAGAGATTAACAGGCTGTGTGGTTATTGTTCTTAAGGCCATACAGTACAAGATATGCCAGTTGCTGGGTACCGTTTCTATGCAATTAATATCCCCTTTTGAGAGTTATTTTTGTATAAAAATCATGTTAGCATGCTTTCTTGATACCATTTATCTTTATATATGAACTGGAGAGAAATCTGTCAATTAGTATTTAGGTAAGACCATGATGGGATATTGCCATAAGTCCTTAATTTTTCCCTAGAATAAAACAATGAAAAGACATCAAATAAATCCTCCCCTGTAGTCACCAGGATACACCTGCAAGGAGTGGGTTATCAACTAATCCTCTCTTGGCTGAAACAGCCCATCCTTTACACCCACTCTGGGAACTCAGGCTGTGTACAAAGCCTGGAGTACTATAGGTGAAACATAGCACTGTAATAAATCAAGACTAGATGATGAGTGAAATCCTTTAATCTGCCCACTCTCTTCATCTTCTCTTTCATCCTGATCAAAAAATTTAAATATAATCTTACCTGGTAGTGGGGAGTTAAGTGGGCAAATGGAGCAGCCCCAGTTTGAAGGCCCTTAAGACAACAAATTGTTCAAAAACATAATGAAAACCAAAAGGTCCTTCGTACATTGGAGAAAACAGATTGAAATTAGAGACTAAACCTGAGTAGCCCTGCAAAAAATCCCTCAAGAATGAGGTTCATACAAACCTCACCATCAAAATGAAAACTGACACACAGTCATTGATGGGACTATAACATCAGCTGAGACCATGATGGGGCTGCCCACTCATAACCTGTCCTTTGAGGCACCTCTTGATGTCTGTCATTTTCTCTCTGCTCTGGCCTCTTGGAGGCATTGGCACTGTGAAGCCACAGGTGCTCACCTTCACAGCCTTGAGTGCCAAACCCACCTCAGCAGTCACCTCACTGGTGGAAAACAGCTTTGCCCCCAAACCAGGTTATGCTGTATTAGTAATGTTCTATATTAACGATAATAACCAACATTTATTGAGCACTTACTACATGCAAGTCACTGTGCTCAACACTTTATATATAGTAAAATTTTTCTTTACCACTTGACCTGACATGATGTATTAGAGATGAAGAGGTCTTAGGGAAGTTCAGATTTTCACTATCACTTTAGTAGGGGATTTTTTTTTTTTAAAGATTTATTTATTTGTGCATACAGAACTGGGGTATAGGCCAGAGGTTCAGGAGCGGCGAGAGGCTTCACCAGAGACAGAGTGGGGAACAGAACAGGCAGATCGACGAAGTACACTGCTGAGGGGAGCAGCGGGCGGGTCAGGAGAGGTCTGCCACGCCATGTGGTCCCTTCCGGGGTAGGCGGGAATCGAACTCATGCGGAAGCAGCTTTAGATTCTCAGTGCTGTGCTTTAACCCGCTGCGCCACCAGGGAGGGCCCATAGGAGGGGATTTAATCCAGATGTGTTTGACTCCAAAGCTGTGCTGATTTGAAGGTGCAATACATAGCTTAGCATGGAGTTTTATCCCTTTCAGTCCCACTCCCTCGAAATAGCTTCTGAGATAAAGATTAAAGTGCATGTAGCTTATTTAGGAAGAGTGGAAAGGGAGCAGGAGAAATAGGGTAGTGATGGGAGAAAGTCAATAAAGGGTGGGCTATCAAGCCAGTTACCCCTGAAGCAATCCTGCTGGCGGACACTGGGAGACAGTGCAGAACATGCCTCAGAGTTGTCCCAACATGGAGTTGGGAAATAAAGCTCCTCATGATTGACTAAGGGCTGTTTCCTCACCAAGTTCCCTTGTCATTAACCTAGGCCTGCATGCAGAGCATTAGCTTCCTGGCATCCCCAGTTCACCCAACTCACAGCTTTTGCTTGGCCCCTATGCCCGAGAAGAAAAGCACTGAGGTAGATCATGGGTGTTCACAATAAGCAGCGTTTTAAAGCAAAAA